CTGCTCCCCTGCATTTCTTTTTTAGTTTGATGCCTGCTGCCTGTGCTCACACACACAGAAACTGAATGTTGATGTGTTTTGACAGGGACAGAGCCACAGAAATCTGTCACATGTGGAGTACCTGTTGTATCTTTATAGTGTTACCTGGTCACCTGCAACACTTTGATGCATAGCCTTTTATATCCTCCTTTCTCTCTTGTATTACATGCACACTCAAGACTGAATTCCACTGGGAAAGTACACTGACATCAACTCTAGGTGCTATTGCAAATGTTGCAGTGAAAATCCAATCAATCTCCTTTCGCTGAGGGATTTCTATCATCTGCAGTACATTATGAAAAATTGTTATTTTAATGTACATACTTGGATCTAGACACTATCCACGTACAAAGTAGAAAACTGCAGGTAAACACCAGGAAGAAAGCGGGCTAATGACTAATAAACTGTAGGAGAGAAAGTCATCTGATGTTGATCGTCATACTGTAACTGAGAACTCTAAGCCAAGATACAGCCCACTTCTTCTCAGTATGGAGAAGCTTCATTCCGTCAATATGCCTGTTGGCGTGGGGGCGGAGAGTGTGCAAGTGCTGGCATCAGAGGGTGAAGCACACAGCAAGACAGAACAGATAGAGAATAGATAATAGGTTTCATGACATCAAGTTCTCCTTCAGAGTAGCAACAACAACGCACTGTACGCCATGAATCAAAACTGAGACACTCAAATAGCAAGCAATTAGCCCCCCGCTAGTAGAGTGGACCACATTCGCGCAGAAACACTGAGAATAACCACGCTGGGCAATTAGACATAAAAGCCAAAGAGGCTTTGCAGAGGCATGCTCGAAAAATAAATCAATGCCAAAACACTGAATCTATGCTCTTTGGGCTTTCACAGAAACTTGGGTGTGCTGAAAACCTCAAAGGTCTTCTCCTTAATATACTTATGTGTGACATTAGATCCTTGCTTTGGAATTTGTGTAGGATTTGAGATGCTTACAAAATGTTTTAGTTGTGTGTCTTTTGTATGCCTTAAGTAAGACGTGTGAGCCTTCATTTAGATTATTGTTAAACAGCCTGGCTCAAAATGCTCCTACAGCGCTTTAGTAAATGCAACACCTCCTTGTGCACACATAAACGTTACTTACAGTTATGTGTGCAAACTTTTGCACAGGATGTCCAGGCACGCTTGCAAAACATGTTTCAGAGAGCCATGCAGTGTGATACCTTTGCCATCTTTTCTTAAATTAGCACCATTATTTTCATTTGTTCTACTTCTTCTAATACATGTATATTTTTGTAGCCCAAGTGCTGAGCACACATACTGGATGTAATGCACAGTAACAATGTGTCTGTGGCATAATTCAAGGCATTGATAATAAAGCCAGATGGCATTTAGATCAGCGCATATCTCTATGCCTGATTAATATTATAATGAAAAAGAAGACAACGGGCACATTTTCATGATCTAAGGAAGGTTTTTTTTTTTAAAGGCCAGTTTAGTGGAATTACGCTCACATTGGAGAATTACACATGTAATTTACATCCAACGGTGATAATATGTTGGTGATAACTTATTAACCTGACGCACCAGACGGTTTGCTACACAGAACCATCTGGGAAGGCTCCATTGAAAAGTGTTTCTGAAAGAGGAGGTGCCTTTGAAAAATACTTGGCAGGTGATAATCAGATTCTGCATCCATACTCTCTGGTTCTGATAGAATTGATGCTATAGCAGCATCTATGCTAACCTCTTTAGGAGCCATCAATGCTGTTAACGAACTTTCTGTCGTCACAACTAAGACATACCTGTACCTGCCAGTAGTTTCTTCCTCATAGGAAACTGATTGGCCCAAGCCACTGTGGTTCAGCCACAAGTGAATAGCTTAGAGCCTGGCAAGATGGATTCTCGCTCCTGAGAAATCCAGCTGCTTTGCAAGCTTTGCAAGATTAAAAAACTATTGTATTGTTTTTTTCCATATTGGCATTGGGCAGAAATAGACGTAGTCTTTGAATGTAATTTAGGCTTTTGCAGAATCAGTCAATATCAACATTCTTGTCTCGGTGGTAAGTTCGTTTTAAGGATGGGATGATGAAAATAACAGCCAGCCAAGTGGCAGCCTCCTCTGACATTCCTCTCTTATGCTGTATGATATTGATGATATTTTCTTTTTTTTTTGGTTGCATCTTAGATTGTGTTTGTGCCAGCTTGCAGCCTGTCAAGAGTCATCAGAGCAGTGTGCAAATGGTGGAGGGCCGTCTTGGCCGCGGTGGCGTGACTAAGCTGGGTTCAGAGCCCTTAGGGTTTCACCCGGCGCTCTTCTTGCTGAGTGGTGACACATGTGTTGTGACAGGGCGGCTGTACGGAGCTGCATTATGGTTTATCTGGGGATGGCTTGTTGTGGCTGTGAGGGTTAACAGGCCAGGGCTCTGTGGGTACGTCAGTGCCATTCTCCTGGAGGTGGATGCACCACATTAAAGACAAGGGCATTGGCATGTGCTTATTTTAAAAACAAACAAACAAGAAAACATTCTTTGTCACATTACAATATCCCCAAGTAATCCTTTTTACACCCCTGTACAGACAATGTTGATTGAATTTTTAATGTATGAGTATGAAACCGAAGGACATTTTCAAAGCTAATAAAAGGGCTGTGAAATCTACCACAATCACACATATTTAACTACTTACAGTAAATGATACACTACTTTTACCTTATGAAATGTGAGGCATTTTGAACCATCATTTGCACATGTTGGATTTAACTATTAATTACAGACACATAGAGTAAAGTACTGAGAAGAATCTCAGAGAAAATATATTTCTTGAATTAACTAAAGGATTTTTAGTTGTAGGATCCCAATTGCAAATGCAAGTCATAAGGTCTTTGCTATAAAAAAAGGTCACGTCACACCTTCCTCTATTTTTACACTTGTGTAGAAACAAATGTGTGTTCTCCTCTCCTCTCAAGTTGTCCACCTTAGTTGTGTGTCTTTCTGGAGCACAAAGGCGTATTCATGACAGGGAAGCAGTGCCTGAGGGGAAGAAAGAAGTCTGGGGCTAAGGTCTGCAGTCCTCTCTCTCTCTCTCTCTCTCTCACACACACACACACACACTCACACACACACACACACACACACACAAACACACACACTAAAGCAGCTCAACTTGTCTTGGCTGAAACCTTTTACACAAAACAGAGCAGCAAAAGAGAGGGACAAAGGGAATGGGATGTGAAGCCAGCCAACTATCATCACCAGTGACTCCACTGGAATATACACTATCCACTGCACCTGCTTTATCCTGCCTTTCTGGCAAATTACAAACCATTACAGGTTTGTGTATGAGCAGTGCACTTCAAGTGATGTTAATTTTATGCTTGGCACTGCGTCTGCTGAAAGGCAGCCTTTAAAAATGTATTGAATCTCCTTCAGCGTACACTACATGTCTGCTAAGAGCCATGTTTTGAAATGCTGTTCCAGATGTGAGGCTCTGCACCCTGCTGAGAGAGATGAATGTCTAGGGGGCTGCGGGCTACCTACAGGTTCACATCCTTAATGAGCAGAAGAGTCTGCTGAGAGCAAGATATGATTGATAGCGTAGCGACAGAACTGAAAGAGGGGAATCGCAGTAAGGGCTTTTGATAAAGACGATGGGGTGGAGGGCTTTGGCAGGCGGCAAAAAGAAGGAATCTGGCATCGGACTTGCCCAAGCTAGATGCCAGGAACCCGTCCACCATGCTGCAAAGCCAGAGTGCTTCCTCTTGTTACAACCCCTCTTCTCTGGTCTGTGAGTTTAATCCAAGCTGGATGTTCCTCCCTGTTGCGTGCCTCTCTATATTCCACATAACACACTTTTCCCTCCAAGGGAAACAAATAGCAAAGGTGGAATTCCTGGCAAGTGACTCCGGATGTTGTTGGCAGTGAGTGGAGGTGAAGCGCATCCAACCCTATTACCAGCCCACTGCACTAGAAGCCTTTCTTTTCCCAAAACGGCAGATAAAGGTGAGAGACAGAGGGGAAATAGAGTTTATTTATGATATTTATTCATAAGGCACGTTATGCTGGAATATTTTCTAATCCTTTCTGGGGCTAACAAAGTGTTAATAGTCCACTCTGAGTGGAGTTGGAGCTTGTGACACTAAGTCTAAGAAAGCACAGAAATGACATCAAGGAGAGAATTACAACAGAAGCTCAGAATTTAGCTAAATCGCCTAAACCCCCGTCCTTTCAGAAGGCAGCAGTAATACAGGCAACCGCCACTTCAGGATTTGCAGCCAAGCGCTGTCCCCACAAAATAATGAAGTGAGGCTGGATGGATGCCAGGAGGGTGGCTGGTTATGTCAGCCTGCATAATGTGTTAGACCAGGGTCTCTGTCATGTCATACTTATGAGCTATTGACTGCCCTGATTCTCATTAATCCTGTGGTATCAGATCCAATCAATCTAATACAGGTTTATCCAATAATTTACTCAGTTCAGTGAACGTTCATTAACCACATTGCCTTCACTAATACAATTAAAATAAATCAACAGAATTATCTTCAACATACACAGTTTTAATTACCTGTATCTATGTTCTACACTAGACAAGTTTTATTATGATTGTTAATTTGACTTGATTGAAATTAAGCAGAACTACTCTGGAAAAGTACTTTTTATATACATTTAAAAAAAATAAATAAAATAACCTTAAGAATAACTCATTGTTTTCCTTCTCAGTGTAACCTAACTGAACAGCATATTAAGTATGGGCGGCAACAAGATATGTGCACTTGCCAAAATTTAGTCTGACTCCAGATGGGATGCTGTATGGTTTTGTTTATTATTACATTATGGAAACAAAGACACACACAAATTGGACCTCGTGTATTAAAAAAACACTATAGTATGTGAGAGGGACAACTTATGGTGGCAAAAATTATATTACATACTTCTACTTCTCAATACAGTGAACCTGATACTCACATTTCATGACATATTTAGCTGTAGGAATGTTAGCTTACCTGTGTTGAATTGTTTTGACGTCGTCCTCGGCTCCACACTTGCTTTGTGATAACGACTGAAATCCAAGGTGCGTTGATGAAAAATGAAAAACTCCTACTGAATAAATACTATCGTGTCCTCCGCTGGCTCCGTGTTGTTCTAATTTTAGCCCACTAGCAGACACGCGAACCACACAGGCGGTTTAAACGCTACTTACGTAATTACTGGTTAATTGGCTACTTGTCTAAACACTAATCATTAAGCGCGCGCGTTTCTCTCAATAGACCCGCGCGAAGCATCCCCACGCGCTTTCCTCACTGGCAAAGGTACACAGCTGTTTTTTTTGTTTGTTTGTTTTTTGTTTTGTTCTTTCCTTTCCTCAGTGAAGAGAAAAAAAGGTGAGCTTTGGCTGTTTTCGGTTGTGTGGTAGTCTAGTCCATTCACGGTGGTTTCCCGTGCTGAAGGTCCCGAGCAGCTCACGTCGTCACGGCTGGGTTGACAGTTAATATGAATGTGTGGTGGAGAAAACAACACCAGCGTCGCAGCTCCATTCCCTCCAGTCAACTACTGCTGAGGAGTTCAAGTGCTGCTCGGAATTTAGCCAACTCTCTTGGTCAACAAGTTGAAAGTGAACAGCTGGTAAATTATTGTAACAGTTTTAGAATTACTGCCCTTGCTGATTATGTTTAGGCCCCACACTAACTATTATTTTCATTATTGATTAATTTGTTAATTATTTGTTAATCGTTTTCTCTGCGAATTTCACAGCTGCAAAACCTGGAAGAAGAACATTTTTTGCATGTTTTTACATGAAAAATGTTTTTGATAAATTGATCAATGACGATTAGGTCTGCAACCAACAATTTTTAAAAGTATCTCTTTATCTTTCTTAATTGATCGAAAGATTAATCATTTGCTGTGTAAAAGAAATTCTGACCATTAGTCTGAAAAAAACTAATGTGAGGCCAAGAACCATCAAATGCGATTTTTGCTTGAAAAAGTGATTGTAAAAATAGATGCAGACATTCTGTTAACCAATTAATTGACTGCCCACTGCAGCTCTAATCAAAATTTTTGCTTTTTTCTCACGTCAGTCAATTAAATGTTTCAGCTCTGATTATGTTTAAGTAATATCAGTTAATTGATTTCTTGTAACATATATATATATATATATATATATATATATATACATATATATATATATAGCTACATATCATCAGTTTAACCACTTTCTTACTTTTCAGTGTTTTCATTTACTTTGGTATTCATTTCCCTTTAACAGTCCCCTAAATTAAATTAAAACCACATTGTCCGGGCATGTGTGCTGAATTTGTAATCATCATATTTCCGACAGCACTTGAAGGCATTCCAACACTTTTTTTTTTTTAGATGGGTTGTGTGTTGGATATCTGCTCTGCAGGGATGTGACCGACAAAGAGAGGGGAGGGAGCAAGCCCCTCTCATCTGTTATGCATTTCCCCTTTGATTCAGCAGCAGCCACTGAATCTTATTTTCCAGCATTTCTCCCCCTAAGCGCTTTGTTCCGTGTTCAGCTGTGGAATGTGCTGGAGAACACAGTTAATTGTAAAAACCTTATATCTCTGATCTTGTTTTCTCTCTCTTTACCTTTTTTTCGGCAGCTTAAACTAGAAATGAAAGATTCAGGTTTGTGCCAAGATCACACAAAGCAGGGGTGTCAGTTCAGTCAGACCTACATCACAACAAAGTCCCTGCAGAGCAGAACAAAAACTGATGGCATGAAAGTTATTATCTGTCTGAATGATAGATGTAGCTAACCAAACGGCAAACACTCCTCCCAAGTGCTTCCTAATATGCTTTTTCAATTATTTTTTTTAACAACAAGATCAAATTTGGACTCAAAGGAAGATATAGTGGATGTTACAACTGGACATATCCACCTGATAACATTTGTCTTTTCCATTTCTGTAGGTGTCCATTCTCAATCTCTTTCAGGTACATCACTATCCCACTGCTTCTTCTTTATTTTTAACAACTAAGAAGCTACTTCAACCTGTAGGGCACTTTGTTTTCAGTGAAATGAGCCAACACAGTACAAGTCAACCAGTACCCATGAAAGCTGCAGGCAATCTGATTTCGGAGTAAGAACATTGCAGTACTCTCTAGAATAATAAATTCATTGACAATCAAAAGTTAAAAGTTTATAAAATCACTCACGTTCAAATTTGTTATTTTAGTGCTTATTTGCCACGCTGCCGCATTAGCAAAAAAATGCAATACTTGCTCCACCTGTTGGTTGTTTCGATGCAACACGGGGTGAGTCAAATTTAAATTTTGAAGACTTAAATAACTGTATTAAAGTCAAAACTTATGAAAAGCCCAAACCCCCAGTGTATGAAAAGGCTCAACACTGTGTTATAAGCAACCCCCTGCGCCTCCAGATACAGAGTACAAATTAAATGTTTGTTCATAACAGCACTAGTGTGGTTGCTTTAGGGCAAATGTCAGTCATGTTAACGCACACAAATTATGAGATGTGTTTTTTCAAAAAAAAAAAAATCCTCAGAGACTTGCATTTTTTTTCTTTGTTGCTCTTTTTTAAACAATAATATCATCACATATAAACTGTCTCTATCATAAATCAATCTATAAGACATTTTACAACTCAAACTCAGCCTGAAGTACAGAAGAAAAGTACATTTACAAATACATTAAGACACTGTGACACAAGGTAGCTGAGTGAAAAACAGTAAGGCACCGATGCCGTCTGTGGCATAGGTAGTTTCGAAAAAAAAAAACCCAATCAAAACTAGCATTAAAAACCAGAAAACTGTGTCTTCAAAATGTGTCAAGAACATGAAATCAAAAGAAACAATACTGCAAAGCATAAGTATGTTGTTTTAAAAACCTTTTTAGTGAAACACATCTTGTGAAAGATTAGCTAAACATTGAAAGAGGATGTTCTACCACGTGTCTGTGTTGTTTGGTTTAGGAGCAAAGAAAGGCCATAAAACCTTGAAATTTAAAAACCACTAAATTAGTAGCATTCAAATACAGTATTTTACTTTGAAAACCATCTATCTGAATTTATATGGTCTGAATTTCAAAACAAACAGAAAATGGAAAATTTAAGGGTTTTCTAGTCATTCATTTGAACTTCTTTCACCACGTCTGACAGAACATGACCGGATAGAGGTCTGATCCATCCTCGACAGCCCAGATGTTTACTGTACATTTTAATACAGTATATTTTAATTTTATAATTAAATTTTGTTGTCTCAATTTCTTCAGTCTGATTTTTTTTTTACTGTACATGAATTTTTAGACAATTTTCTGTCTGAATTTGTGAACCCCTAAAATCACTCAGTTTTTGAAATTTCACAACTTAAAAAAAATTTACATAAAAAATAAAACTCGGAAATTTAAATTAAATCCAAAATAAGAATATAATAAAGCCATATATTTCAAAGTTTCTTAATTCAATATTTAGTGTTATTTATTTGTGACGTGTTTAGAAAAATGCTCTATAAATAAAGATTATCATTATTATTATTTTATCAAATAACTTCAGATGGAGGTATTCAGTTGCTTAAAAGATAGAAGTCGTTATGGCCTTTTTTTTGCCTCCATATTTGGTAGCAAGACCTGGTTTTAACATTCAAAAAATAAGTTTCATGTTAATCACACTAATAATAAGATGTGTGGTTCTTTTTGTGGGTTCATCAAATTACTACAGTCAAATCAAATGTGAAAAGTTGAGAAGAAATTACACCAAACATGATAGATCATGTAACAGTGGATTTACAGTCTTAGCTGGTTGTTCTGGATACAAATCATATGATGTTTCTTTGTGTGTACGACTGATCTTACTGCCAGTCTTTCACATGGCGTATTTCGCTGTTGTGCTGTAAAGGCTGTGCTTTTGTTTCACACTGTTAGAAAGCATCAAAGCTGAAAAGTCTCGACAGATTGGTTTGACATGAGCTCTTCTGGTCTCCATCACGTCCCTTTCTGGATTTAGAAATGGAGATGTGAAGAGGACCAGGGCTATAAGACATAATAGTGTTACTTTATCCTCTAAAACGTAAACTAAAATAATAAAGAGTAGCAATCCACAACAGTATTGCTCACAGAGTGGATTATTATTTGATTCAATTGACACAATTTCTTCCCCATTATTGTTACAAAAATAGATAAGAAAACATTTACTGTATATAAAGTATATGGCAAACAATCAAGAAGTGAGTTGTTCTAAATATAATTAAAGTCAAAAATTGTCACACCCAACAAGAAAATGCAACAACTACCTATATCACAGCCCCCCCCACGCCCCCTTTACTGTACCTCTCCATTCAACCATCACGCACGCACGCACACTTCTACTTGGTAAACAATGCACAAAGCTAGCTTTCACCACAACCACAGGCACAGTAAAGAGTATATGTATTTTATGTTGTCTGTAAATTAAATGAAGTGAGAAAGTGGCCACAGCTAAAAATACAACCCACATTCCTGTAGACGTTCTGCGAGTTTGTTGATACACACCGAGGCTCCTTTGAAAACAGTTCTTAAAGACTGAATTCCCTTCAGTGAGGTTGAGTGGTGCTGCACTGTGTGTGTGTGTGTGTGTGTGTGTGTTTTCTGTAATTACCGATGCAGGCCTGTGTGCTCTCAGGGTGTGTCTGTGTCTGTCTTTGAACTGGGTCCACTTAAAGAAATTTATGAACTGACTAAAGCATAAGGCAAGGGATTCTGTGTGTGTGTGTGTGTGTGTGTGTGTGTGTATGTGTATAGCCACAGCACGTACATAGCACCAGAGCAGGTAAAAGAGAGTAACAGGTACATATTCTTCTCACCTGTTAGCTTGACTGCTGTGATGTGTTACCAAGTTATTTTTATTCAAGATATATCCATAAGAAGGTGTCTGAAATTTCTTTGAAAAAAGTCTTTGACATTCGGTATAACTTTTGAATGGTGGTTGGAAACTCAAGATCATACAACCACCACAGTAACTACTACACTTTTCTATATATAACATATCTCAATCTGTCAATGCTTCCAAAAATATCTGACATTGTGAAATGCTCATTTCTTCTCAGGGATCACTACTGCACTTCATCTCAACATCAACCATGACAGTGTCGCTGTCTCGATGTCAGGTTATTTGTCATAAATTTTATTTGCTTGACGAAAGTGTCTAAAATTTATTTAGTTGTGGTTTTTGATGACTTTAAGTTGAGGCTCAGACAATGGTGAGATGATTTACCTTGGCAGTGTCGACTGAGACAGGGATTCATGAAAGTGTAGTAATTTCAACTCAATCCTCAAATATATTCTCCATAAATTCTCTCATAGGCCATCATCACCTAGGCCTTAAAAATCCTTCAATGTTCATCCATCCCACAGAGTCCTGCACACGTTTGAACGCAACAAATGGCAAATAAAATTTTGGCAAAATAATAATCAGCAATGTTTACATCATGGTGATTTATCCTAAATTGTATCAACATTCAATTTCTGAAACTTGTTTCTCTTAGGTCTTTCCTGGATGGAAGAAATG